CCCCCCCCCCCCCCCCCGCAATTACTAAAAAGCAGGTTAAGACTAATCATCACTTCAATATTTTTGACGTATCTATGTATAAACAATGTTTAACTTAAGCATGGCACCTACGTTTTAACAGAGACCTTGAACTGACAAAGCGTGATCATGGGGTATCAATGTGTAAACTATCAGGAAATGATAACATCATGACCACTACTAAATTTGACAAGAAAAGCAAGAATAAATCCATACTAACGACACGTTACACGGGAAATGCAAAATGTGAGCCCAGAAACAAGAAAACTAAATTAGATGGCAATCGTACGTTTGAATGCAGACCAATAAACCACAGGTTAGATGAAAAGAAAGGGATTCCAGGGTCGGATTGGGAAACTAAGTATATTACTGTTGGTTGTGAAGTTTTCATCTTCCACTAGAAGCATGCTGCAGCACAGAAAAAAAAGATGTTGGACCAAAACTCGTGAATGGAACTTGCCGGTGTGAATTATTGATGACATTTTTATATGGATATATTTACAATCATTTATATCCTATTTAATTTATTTATGAGTGATGACAAACGTTCACAACTCATTTTGTATAGATATTATAATATTCTATTTTATAGTTGTAAGTATTGAGGCATATGCAGTATATAAATAAAAATTGTGAAATTTCATGTTGAGTCTAATTTGTTTTATCTTCCTTTCCTTATTTTATCTCTGGATTTCTCACTTGTCATTATACCTATTTAAATTTGGATTTAATTCGAACCCTTAACTGCAGACACCTGCATGTCTATATATAATATATATATATATATATATATATATATATATATATATATATATATATATATATATATATATATATATATATATATATATATATATAGGTTATCATATAAGGGATGAGGTGATATCAGTTTTATCGCTCGAGGGATGATATCACAATTGTCACGAGCGAGCACAGCGAGCGAGGGACAATTGTGATATCGTCCCGAGAGCGATAAAACTGATATCACCGAATCCCGAGTACGATAACCTATTTATTATATACTTCTACCTTTATCAGGGTTTGACACCCAAAAGTAAACAGTTTTGAAAAAAGAGGATCATTTTAGAATTCAAAACAAATCAT